TTCATCTTATTTTCTTTGTTTCTTAATTGATCATAGTTTATCCTTTACTTCATTAACTGGACAGTGTTAAATGATGCGGGTGCAAACAGCGGAAAACATTACATTTTCCAGCTGAAGTATCTAATCAGCTGCGTATGAATATGTAATCGAGCGTAGTTTCGTTTCATCGTTTCACATGGATGCTTCGTTTTCAGTACACTTGCAAATATTATTCAACGTGATGCTCGCGGCTGGTACGTGCATAGAACGCTGCATCGGTTCATTTGAACGACATTGAATAATGTTTGGATAAACTGTAATTCGACTGGCATACTTCATTTCCTTGTTATTGTTTTTTCAATCAAGAAACATAAATATGCACAGCCATAGGTAATTAATGTTTTATGGATGGTATCCATTGTTAGAGATAAGCGGGACAAAAGGAAATGTACATACAGGTTGCTTCTGAGCGAGCAATAAACGTAACGCGAACAAAAACAGTTCCATTCCGAATAGCTTTCCAATCGTCGTGATTCGACTTCCTATTCAAGGAACCCCGTTTAACTTCACCGTTTCATGTAACAGCAGTCCATGCAATTACGCTTCGTCGGTCTTCGTATTTGTAGGTTTCTCTTGGTCGATTGTAAAACAGCGAGGCGAACGCACGTTGGAACAGAACACCGGCAGACGTAAAAGGAAATATAGTTTGAGGGCGCCACATTGGTTCGACGAGGCACTCGTTCTCTTTCAATTTTCAGCTAAACACCATCTGCCAGAAAAACAGACTGGTACTCTGAAGAGAAAACTCTTCTACCATTATCTTCTTTATTTAAAAAGTTTCGAAACGAAATTGTTAAATTTCTAATCTAATCCTATCCTAAAAATTAGGTTAACTCTCATTCCTAACCTACAAATTTGCTTGATAATAGTCCCTAACCTGAAAGTGTTAACCTAAGCTAACAGTTTCTGTGGGAATTAAACTGTGACCTAATATTTGAACATCATATTTGGAAATGGGCTCAGATAATTTGCGTTTTAATGCTTTTTAACAACTCGTACGTTCTGAATGAGTACATTTGAAGTTGAGGGTTAATGGTACGTTGAAACGGCGGAATGAATTTATTCTCTAGCAAAAGAGGGCGCGATACATTCAATCCCCGATTCATTTTTCCCCAGCAAACGACTCGATTCGTAAGCTGGATTCGTTCGAGAGCCAGCTATCTCCGCCTTGTCCCTGTAATTAGCCAGGAATTAAACTCGCCCCGTCCCGGACCCACCCGTTCCCCGTGTTTATCCACTAAAGCGGCATTAGCGCGAATTACCGGTGAAACGTTGCACGAAAATTGCATGTAAACAGTGCACTTTATTCGATTACGAGTCGCGAGGTTGGCGGAGGGAGTGGCTAGCAAGTTCGAGTGGCCTCGTATTAGACGTGATCAAATTAGTCTCGTTCGCAATGACTACGCTGCTGCAATCGAGTAGTTCGATAATGTTCTCTTGATGAAATGATGTATTTTATGCCTGGATACTTTTCATACAATCATGATTTCAAATTAATAAATGTATAAAATCTTTCAAAGCACAAAGCCATTATCGAACAAGATGGCGCAACGAATGAAAGGGGGTCAGGTGGATTTACAAGCTCGTAATTCCGCAGATTTCATTTTAATGAAATATCACTAAATTTATGGAATATGCAGCTTGTATTTATGTTGCTTAAACCCATGACCCAGTATTTAAATTCATGCTAAAAGCACGACTGACAAAAGTATACTGCCACGAATATCCCAGCCTTCGTTTACTAGGAATTAAAACAGTGTTACCGTGAACTGAAAGGGATCAGATCTTCACACCGACTTAACTAATTCCTTTTTCCGTACACTATAATTATAAGAACAGCTGTTGCTGTTTCATTGGGGTCAGTAAATTATCCTGGCCAGCTTGGTGCTTTTCAATTTTCAAACCCTTTCCAAAATTAGTATAAAGAAGCGGTATCTGAAATAATTTTGCAACAATGGAAGACGACTAACCGGCAACTGGCCAGAACTGGTGGTTCCGTTGAGGCACGAGTCATCAGGACAAGAAAGCTCGCATGGAACGCTTGCGATGCGCGTAGGTGTGCTCTCAACATCAGCCTGGTGTGTACGGAATGTAATATGGTGGCTGGCAGCGTCACATGGCTATTTAGAGGAGCCATGGCACGGAGTTTCAAGACGAGGAGAGTTGGAAAGAGTTCTTGGAAGGGGGGACACCCTCCCATCAGGAACAGACCGAGGAACAAGACGAAGAGGAAGAGACAGTCGCACGAAGAGATGCTCGAGGCGTTTCTCCTCTAACCGGCATCGTCCGGCTTCCTTTCTCTTCTTCCCCTGCCTCCCTTCCTTCCTGTTGTTTTTTTTACCCTACGTACATTCGACGTCTCGTTTCTCTCCTTTTTCTTCGGGGCTCTATTTTCTGCCCAGATCACATTAGCATCTTTGTCGCCCGCCCAGCCGCCGACCAACGTTCCGTCTCTGTCGGCGACGTTCACTTTTTGCCTCTCGCTTTGTGTACACGTTCGCGTTTCTCATTTTGCACCGTTGGGAGCTCAGGAACTGCCACTTCACTATTGGTTACAGATAACACTTAGTGGAGCCATGGCGACAGTAACGCGCGAGCGCTGTGTGCGAACATGGCGGACTCTAGCTGATACGAGTGTTACTTCTGCCCGAGAGTCCATGTGTGTGATTTCGTCGGAATTCTTTCATTTTTACGTTGGACTGTCTGCTTGCTCTCATAACGCTTCAATTTTCTTCCTGTTATATCTGTACCCGTTACTTCTATTGCTTTTGATGTTATGGTTGCTATCTGCCACTTGTTCATCTTGGGCTCTTAGAGGTTTATACTGTGCTTCAGGGCTTCAAAGTGTATATTTTAAATCTAGTTATAGCCTTTATTCCTTCCAGATCTGATCATAGTGCCCCACTCTCACCCACATATAGGATGGACTGTGGTTAGGGAAGCGCCCTCAAGACACAGTATAACCTGTCCTGTTATGTTGGTTATGTATAGCCAGCCGTCAGCACCAAATCATCTAAAAATATTTAAAAAATGATAAAATTATGCTTCAATCCACTTTGGGTACCATCTCCATAAAAGATTAACTCGAGCCTTGTTTGACACACAGGCAGTCGCACGGTAGGCAGCAGTCTTTTTTTTCCCTCGGTTTCTTTTTTTAATATCATTCCATTCTATCTCCTCCTTCCTCCATAACTCTTTCCGACGCACAGTCACAAACGCGTTCCCGGTTTCTGGAGGCAGACAACGATGAACCGAGAGGGGAATCCGCAGATACGGCCCGTCCCATCCGCTCGGCTGGCTCGCAGACTCGCTGGAGCTTGCGAAAAGCCAGACCATTGACACCGGTGCTCGCCCCACCATTGTTACCGGGCTAATAAAGAAAAATAAAGGCTTCTCTTCCCGCAGGATATTAGCTCTTTCCTATCCAGCCACGCTCGTCGGGGTCCAGTCCCTTCTTACTGACCGAGCACGGTTGAGAAACGCGACCGACGTCCGGTTTCCGCGTTGCTGCTTCGTTTGTCGAAAATCTGAGCGTTGCTTAATCCGACCAACCACCGATCGCCCCTTTTCATTCTTCTCCCGTAAGCGATAGAAGCAAATTACGAGGCTCCTTCCGCTTGGCTACGTCCCTTTGTACCGTCTGTGATGTCTTTCTCGTTCTGTTCGGATGTTGGTTAGGTTTGCCTTCCGTGTAGAGGTTAGAATTGATTGTTTTCTTGGACGGGGTTCTACGCTTTTGGGGATTTAACATGTTTTCATTTAATTATTGCAGTGAACTGTAATTAATTCTTTTAAAGCTATGTCAATATGTCCTCAGTGACTATGATCACTAATAACCTAACCTATCTGGAATCGTTCCATGGTGAATTTAATCAAGTATACCGAATTTCCTTGCGTTGTTGAGCGAAGATATTTCTTTGTGACTGTTCGGTAGACGAAAAACAACAGGATGCGCTCGAAAAAAGCCACAGACCAGCAATAGAGCTTGCTAGAAGCCAGACCATTGACACTGGCCCGCGCCTTCGCATTGTTACAGCACCTGGCTAATAAAGAAAAATAAAAGCTTTCTGCTGGATATTAGCTTCGTGCTCTGTGTCTCCGTTCTTTTTTTCCATTCTTCCACCGTGAAAAAGGAAAAGAGGGACCCACAGCGGAAGGAAGATCGTTCACCACGGATGCGACGAAGCTGTACGTTCGTGACGCGCTTTTCAAAGAGCTTAGACGACAAATTTATGGTTCCCTCTCGTTCGACCTACTGAAACATCGATCTCTTCCTCCCTGAAGGGTAGTTTTACCTCGCAATTGCATTGAACTCATCACTGTTATTATACCATAATTTACAACAGGGTAAAATTGTACATATGCATTATGGTTTGAAAGAGAATGTCAGCACCTCTCCTTCTAATTGTATTTTCCCAGAAAACGTGTCGCAAGCGCTAATGTCCCCCATTGAATCCCTTGGAGCCTTGCCTCTAATCATTTCCTACGAGAGGTTAGGAGAGGGCGGACAGAAGCAGACTAATCGACAGCAAATGGCAGAAAAGTAGAGTGCTAGCTGAGCAAATGTCCGGCTAATATCAACTTTTGTCCCCCTCTAGTTATCCAGCTCACGAAACATCGAGAAACAACACTCATGACCCGCACTCATTTGCGGGGGGGCACGGCACGCGATTAGGGGAGGGCCCTTGTGTGCAAAATTGTTCCAGCGAACTGGATACTGATGGATGGGTCGAGTATTCAGATTGGATCTCTTTTAGGACCATGGAAATTTGAGGATTGATGCTTGTCCAAACTTTTATGGGAGGTCTGTAAATAGTTAGATGATAGAAGGGGGACAAATAATTTTGGGAAGTGATGAAACTTGAATTATAGACTTCTAGCTATCACTTAAGGAACTGAGCAGTATTTTTGTTTAACATTTAATCCAATATAAATGATGGCTCTTACTTTATCTGTTACAGATCCGAAGATGAAGTGGCCATTAGTGCTGACTTGCTTTCTGCTGCCGCATTCGTGCATCCTCGGCGCATCGCATGCCGGTAAGTGGTTATTCTTGCTATTTCTTATTCACCGATCGCCGGAATAAATTATATCGTCGGCAATCATCTCGTTATTCTGTGCATCGACCATGTGACAGGTCGATGAATACCTTTCCTACAACGTTTCCGAATAAATTAGTAGTCCCCCTACAGCTTGAATTCGATTATCCCAAAATAGACCCGCTTTAAACTCTACTTCGAAAATCAGCAACCTATTTAACAAGCGATACACGAGCTCTTATCGCTAATTGGTTACATTAATTATATTTGACACAATCTTGATTTTACAAGGCTTGGAGGGGTTAAGACACTTCAAAAGGTTTACACTCTCTTATTATCAAACCCTCCGAAGATAAACGACACAAGGTTTCACGCAACTTCCTTTAAAAATCACTTGGTACAACAGAAATCCTCTAGTAACCCTGAATTCACTTTTTCCCTGGTCATAAATCTCCGCCTGGCTCACCTTTCACACTCGCAACCCTAAAAATCGAACAAGACATTCACGAACGAACAGCGACCCGTTAATAAATGTTCAATACAGCGACACCGATGCTCAAAGGGTTGAACTCGACGATAAAATCGACGCCACGATTTCCGGCCGTGCTGTTATCGCCTCATAAATCATTTCCAGGAACGACGGATCGGTTGGGCGCGGGTGCGATGGAGGTTATGTTAGGTCGCAGGACCCTCCGGTTTCACGCAACGAGCCGTGAAAGCCGGAGAAACAGACGAATCATGTTCGCTTTCTTCTTTCTATTAGCCTAGGCATGTCTGAAGAGGGTGCAAAATCCTTGATTCACTATTGGTGGAACGGAAACCGTGCGAGAATTTTGGTTAGGGGTCATTTCGTTTTTTGGGCGTAGGGCACATTTTCACGTCCCAGTAAATTGCAACACTTAATGTCGTGATTTTATAGGCCTGAAAATTAGAAGTTAGTGCCATAACACATAATCAAACCACTTTGGTTTCTGTGGCATTTGAGGTTAGGATAGATTTCCTTGCGAAAAATGTCACAGTGTCACGATAGCCACGAGTATTAGTGCCACGTGAAAACTACTGTAAAGAGCACAGCCATCCGTGTTCTATAATCGCAGACCTTATGGGTCTGTCCTCTGCTGGGCTGCACACGACCGGACAAATTGCCTTTTCTTCCCTTTTTCACCCCTTATTTGAACATATTGTTCTTATTGTTTCTGTTTCCGTGGCAATTAATCACCGACCACTGATCCCCTTTACTGCCCAACTAATCGAAATCGAATGCTACCGAACCGAACCATTCAGGGGCTGCTTAGGAATTTTAATTTCACACTGTTGCTCAGCGTATAATAGGAAATGGTGGTAGATTGGTAGTTTGGCAAATTTGCTGGAGTTTTTTCTCAGAGATGATTAGTATGACATCTATGGATGCATTGACTAGGGAATTGGTATGACTGATTTTCTGATTTTCTAGGTTAGTGTTACTGTATTTATTTTATGGTTGGTAGGAGCCATTTTGTAGGTTCTAAGAAAATGCAGTTCACCTTTTGACTATTTTAATTTATTATCTAGTTCAGTTTCATTCTAAATTCAATGGTACATAATACCAAAGGAAGGTATACTTTTAAGGTGTCTAGGGAAATTTTGTGCGGAAGTCATATTTTCTAGAAAACTAGAGGTTATGATTCATAATTTCTAAGAGTACATTTTACTATAAATGCGGAAGTTGTTCCATTCAAACTAGAATTCCTTCAGGTTGTTTCAAACGTCCCCTCGTTTAATTTACGATTTTGTTGTAAAAATGAAATAATTATGAGTCCATGGACTCGTTAGAAAATATGAAATTCAAAGGAAAATTCAGTACTCGTTCTACGTACTGTCCTAGTATCGCAGGTCTAATTTGCATGTGAATGGGCCGTAAAAGAACTGTGCAGATAAGCTAAAGGCACGTAAATATTTTCAAGGCAGCGTTAACTTGGCTAATAAACAGCTTAAAGGGTCATAATCGTATAACGGATAATATTGTTCTGAATAGTCTAATCTTAATTTCGATTACGATCTCGTTGTACGACATTGTGCATCGTTAGCAATCGGCTGTATCTTAATAACGTATCATCCAAATTATAATATCACCGTAATAAAATACCATCGCGCAGAAAATTATTTTACAAATTGTTTCTGCTTATAAAATTTAACTTCATTGCCTTTAATTTATAGGTTATGGTATTTCACTTTGTCCAGTGATCTTTAATTCCCTTTACCATTGTTCTAAAAAATATCCTTAAATCTTCCCTGAACCCTTTTCAAGTAAAGGGATCAGCCCAGTTCGAAACAATTACACATCCCACGTGACGACAGAGGGGTCGATATTCTTTCGCCATGTGCTGGCACGCGTTCCAGCCTATGTATCCAAACCTAACCTCTACCTGGCACTCGATTCCGCTACTTGTCCAGCGGTATGCAACTTGTTCGATGCCATTCTGGCAAATCTTCCATTGGGGCCGCGTGTATCACAGGAAACAATCCCTTGTTCATCGGTCTGGGAACTTGTAGTTCGATTTCGAGACCCAGGGAAGAGGAAGAGCAAAGTGCACACCTTAACAGAGGGCTAAAGGAACCGCATCTCAGGGAACTTGACGAGACTTTCCCCTTTTGACTTAATTGGCGGCTTCGAGACTAACGGCGCTAGGCGTCTACGTCGATTGGAGTGGCGCTTTGGCTGGTCGCAAACTAACAAAAGAAGCTGGAAACTCGTTAATGGTGCTCTGTGAAACAATCGATCGCTTTCTGTCGCAATTTTTTTTTTTTTATTCTAAAATTGCGTAATCCTGATTCAACAGAATTGTACTTTTCATGAAAGAAGACAGAAAATTTGTAAATTGAAAGAAGGAATTGATTGTAATTGAGAGAAGTGGAATCTTTCAAGCTTTGAGAGGAACATTTTATGTTACTTTGACAATATGAAAGATGAAAGATACAAGAAATGAAATATTTGATATGCATATGTGCAACTTTTCATCATGGAGATTCTTGACAAAATTTGAGAACAAAGAGACAATTTGATATTCAACACAAAATGTAATAAAATTCAAAAGGAAAGGACATAAATGTTAATTTATGGAATAAAATAAATTTGATGGCGTTATAATTAAGTTTTCATTGGAAGATAAAAGAATAGCCAGTGTCTTGGGAAACGTTGCATCGTTAATGATTTACTTTTTGGCGTTACCTCGACTTTCGAGTTAATTGGCGACATCGAGAAGTCAGACGTTCCCCGTTCTTGATTAAAGTGCTATCGTTTTGCAAACTCGTGGACGTCAACTAAGAAGCTAGGGAACTTGTTAATGGCTGCCCGAGAACAATGACGTGAAGGCTTGTTGGCTCTCCTCGAAGCCCATTGTCGTAGCTACTTTACAGTGTCGTGCATATTTTTTACGCGTCAGCAACAATTATGCCGCCGGCAAAATTTGAAGCCAACCATATTGGGGCTTTCATAAAATTAATTATCTCCGTCGACGGGACAACCATGAATAAAGGAAAACCATATTTTAATTAATCCTCCGAAGACGGATGTTGTTGAACTGACGTGGGTGAAGGACCATTTTGATCTACCAATAAAATATTATTATATTAGCATTCGTAAATAATAATTAAATATCATTATGGACAAAACGAAACGTGAAATGTCATTTAAATGGCAGCAAATGGAATCTAACCTATTCGAACCTAACCTAATCTCATCACCCTATATAGACAATGATCTGAAACCGTTCATAGTACATTAAATCATCAATACTTGTAATAATTACAAACAAAGTGTAACGAAAATCCGATTTTAATGACACCAAGCAAAGGCTGATTCACAAGTGTGCACGATCGAAGTGTCCCGATTGGTCTTACAACGGGTACAATGGCGGAGTGATTTGACGGTGCCGTAAAAAAGTTAGCAGGTGAGCCGAAGTCTCCGGCATTCAATTCCGGACCTGTGATCAGTGATTCCCTTTGAGTCGTTGAATTTGATAACCACCTTAATTGGCAGCTTCAGGCCTCGCAAAGCCGTCTTTGTCGATCGAAGACAGGACCGATGCAACGACACTTCAGACTGTGGGAGGGAAAGAAAGGGAAGTAAGAAGCTCGAAACTCGTTAATGGCATGGATTCCAAGAGGACAATGACGTAAAGACCGTTGTCGACAACGTGGTTGCGCGAACAATCTTCCTGGAACTAACTGTTGACCTTTTTCCTTCTTTGTGGCGAGTTGCTGAATGATCGTCGCTTTGATGGATCCGGTAGTGATTGCTGTCGCTCGAAATAAAGGACAGGGTGCTGAAGAATCTTTTAGATTGTCAAACTGTTTTTAATGGTGGCTCGGTTGGAGCTGAAGCAATTCATAAGCTGGCGTCAATTACCTGCTTTTGTTAATATAAAATAAACATGTTTTCCTATTGTTAACATTCTTCGAATAGGTAACAGCGATTCGGATAACAAATCGAAACAAATTGACACGGTGAAATTCAATAACACCGAAACAACGAGGTCTCGTATTGCGCGATGTATCAGCATCCAAATCAACGCCTGTCGATCCGTCACATGGTACAGGAACACGTAAGATGGATGTCACTTTTTGATCGTGAATTTCCAACGTCCTGTGTCAGTCGTGTTCGCTGTTCACGGCGACCCCATTGCAAACTGCAAACAGTAAATCTAACCATTCAGGTTGGGCCATGTTATAGCTCACGCTATTATTTCGAATATCAACGCGACATTAAGCCTGTGTAAACATGGAGATTCGCGACCTCTATCGAACGATCCAGGATTTACGTCATCCCATACTTTTTGCAGTTCACCAGAAACGACTATCCCTATGCCAAGTCAGTTTAAAAGGATAATTTTGAGAAATTTGGGACAATTGCTCTTATTGCGCATATGCATAGAATAAAAAATTAACCCAAAAAGTGACATATCAATCATATTGGAAATTAGGTTATAATAGGCCAACAACGCCATTTGTCGAGAAACTAT